CTTAAAAATATTCTTGATTAAAAGTATTGTAAGTATTTTTTTTGTCCATTTTTACAGGTTGGCTAACAAATAGAGAGATTAGGAAGTTAATTTCGACCCTAGTGATGACCACAAGGGATGTCTGCACTGATATTGTTTCCACACATGTAAACCATGGAATGCTACATTCTGCAGCTACTACAGGTAATAATACATAGTTAAATTAATATTAATTAAACTTTATTAATCTGGTATCAATTTGGTTAATAAAAGACATACATAGGATAACTGACAGGTTACTTCTTTGTATTATACACTTAGATTGTCTATTATTTAGTTGGAGTTGTAGGTAATTGCGAACTTCAGTTTATCCAAATTTTTTCTAAAAAAGCCAGTTTGGCGTTTATAGCATCACTACGTTTTGCTGATTTTGTCACAAAAATTCATAAAGAACGTCGATTTACATTTCAACCTCCAATTTAGAAACGTTTTTATTACTCGATTATTAATATTTTAAACTCTAGTTTTGAAAGCCGACGCTCAAAATACTTTGAAGTTAACTGGGTTGCCTATATCAATGACGAGCAGTCGCCAGCTGTATTTAATACTAAATATATTTTAAATTCAAAGTATCATGGTAATAATGTTACAGTGCAAGTCGAAACTTGTAAGCAAGTAAATGTTTGGATTTTAATAAAATACTCTAATTTATTTGGTACATAAGCAGTCTGTAGAAATAAACATGATTTTACGACACTTAATACTGTTAAAGTAAACGAAATTTTCCACTGTATGTTTGTCTAATGTGACCATTTTTACCTTGTGCTCTGTACATTACATTTTTTTTACAATTTTTGATGGAGAAAGTTGCTTATATTTAAAAATGCGGGAAAAAAACTGTTAGCATTACTTCGGAAAATTGTGATAAGAATATAAAACTTTGATAAAGTAAATTAGATAGATGCTTCTTAATCAAAAATAGAGTTTAATTAGGAAGAAAAGTAATGTATCCATTTTTTAGTCAGCATATAATAACAACGATAAGAACAAAACATTAAATTTTTGATATTCTGTCCAAGATTGGAAAATTTATAATAGTTATTTCTTACATAGGCATCTGAAGTCTACAATTTAGGTAGTTCATATTTTCAAAAAGCATTTAAAAAAGTTTTAATTATAAAACCCTTGTAAAAGAATTGCATGCACCTTTCGTTAGCACAAGAATGGAAAAACTAGCTGCGCTTTTGAACTATGTCAAATGAAAATGAAAATTTCCCACCCTTATGACAACGAAATGTGCGTGTCAATTTTTACACAACGGTTTTATAACTATAACTTCCTTACGTTCCTTTATAAGATGAATATTCATTCATTTATTCATAACCAGAGTATACAAAAAAAGAAAAAAACATTCTGTTTTTTTTTTTTATTGATATAAGTAATAGCCTATAACAGCAATTTCAAGAATAGCAGGTATATTGAATTTTTTATACTTGTAAAATGTCTTTATTTACGAGCGTTTTCCTCGGTACACGTTTTCTTGGCTTTTCCACATTCCCAGGTTTCCCAAGTCCTATTACTAGTCCTAATCTTTAACTATTCTATAAGAAGTTGTTTGTAATAAACAATTTTGAGTTTATATAGTTTTTAAATTATGACTCGAATTAACGAGATATTTGAAATTGTTATAGAAGATTCAGAGTAGAGTTATAAATTAGATAATAAAAATTAACAGCTTTCTCAAAATAAGTTCGGCTTATGAATAAAAAAAGCCCNCATCGATCATCTTTGACACATATTTAGGATATCGCCGTGAGCGAAGCTGAGGCTAAAACCCATCATGAAATTTTGTACACACATGTGAGGGGTACAGGAAAGGCCATAGGGTACCTTTTATTACAGAAAAGGTACTATTCCCGTGGGATAGAAAAAATTAGTTTTATGTGATCGTCAATGATACGTATTGAGGACATTAACGCAAGCGAATCCGCGGTAAAAAATATCATGAAATTTTATACGAATATTATTAGGGGTACAGAAAAGGGCATAGAGTAGTCAGAAAAAAACTGTTCCCAAAGGATAGACGAATTAGTTTTATATAAGTGGTCATCGATCATCTTTGACACATATTTAGGATATCGCCGTGAGCGAAGCTGAGGCTAAAACCCATCATGAAATTTTGTACACACATGTGAGGGGTACAGGAAAGGCCATAGGGTACCTTTTATTACAGAAAAGGTACTATTCCCGTGGGATAGAAAAAATTAGTTTTATGTGATCGTCAATGATACGTATTGAGGACATTAACGCAAGCGAATCCGCGGTAAAAAATATCATGAAATTTTATACGAATATTATTAGGGGTACAGAAAAGGGCATAGAGTAGTCAGAAAAAAACTGTTCCCAAAGGATAGACGAATTAGTTTTATATAAGTGGTCATCGATCATCTTTGACACATATTTAGGATATCGCCGTGAGCGAAGCTGAGGCTAAAACCCATCATGAAATTTTGTACACACATGTGAGGGGTACAGGAAAGGCCATAGGGTACCTTTTATTACAGAAAAGGTACTATTCCCGTGGGATAGAAAAAATTAGTTTTATGTGATCGTCAATGATACGTATTGAGGACATTAACGCAAGCGAATCCGCGGTAAAAAATATCATGAAATTTTATACGAATATTATTAGGGGTACAGAAAAGGGCATAGAGTAGTCAGAAAAAAACTGTTCCCAAAGGATAGACGAATTAGTTTTATATAAGTGGTCATCGATCATCTTTGACACATATTTAGGATATCGCCGTGAGCGAAGCTGAGGCTAAAACCCATCATGAAATTTTGTACACACATGTGAGGGGTACAGGAAAGGCCATAGGGTACCTTTTATTACAGAAAAGGTACTATTCCCGTGGGATAGAAAAAATTAGTTTTATGTGATCGTCAATGATACGTATTGAGGACATTAACGCAAGCGAATCCGCGGTAAAAAATATCATGAAATTTTATACGAATATTATTAGGGGTACAGAAAAGGGCATAGAGTAGTCAGAAAAAAACTGTTCCCAAAGGATAGACGAATTAGTTTTATATAAGTGGTCATCGATCATCTTTGACACATATTTAGGATATCGCCGTGAGCGAAGCTGAGGCTAAAACCCATCATGAAATTTTGTACACACATGTGAGGGGTACAGGAAAGGCCATAGGGTACCTTTTATTACAGAAAAGGTACTATTCCCGTGGGATAGAAAAAATTAGTTTTATGTGATCGTCAATGATACGTATTGAGGACATTAACGCAAGCGAATCCGCGGTAAAAAATATCATGAAATTTTATACGAATATTATTAGGGGTACAGAAAAGGGCATAGAGTAGTCAGAAAAAAACTGTTCCCAAAGGATAGACGAATTAGTTTTATATAAGTGGTCATCGATCATCTTTGACACATATTTAGGATATCGCCGTGAGCGAAGCTGAGGCTAAAACCCATCATGAAATTTTGTACACACATGTGAGGGGTACAGGAAAGGCCATAGGGTACCTTTTATTACAGAAAAGGTACTATTCCCGTGGGATAGAAAAAATTAGTTTTATGTGATCGTCAATGATACGTATTGAGGACATTAACGCAAGCGAATCCGCGGTAAAAAATATCATGAAATTTTATACGAATATTATTAGGGGTACAGAAAAGGGCATAGAGTAGTCAGAAAAAAACTGTTCCCAAAGGATAGACGAATTAGTTTTATATAAGTGGTCATCGATCATCTTTGACACATATTTAGGATATCGCCGTGAGCGAAGCTGAGGCTAAAACCCATCATGAAATTTTGTACACACATGTGAGGGGTACAGGAAAGGCCATAGGGTACCTTTTATTACAGAAAAGGTACTATTCCCGTGGGATAGAAAAAATTAGTTTTATGTGATCGTCAATGATACGTATTGAGGACATTAACGCAAGCGAATCCGCGGTAAAAAATATCATGAAATTTTATACGAATATTATTAGGGGTACAGAAAAGGGCATAGAGTAGTCAGAAAAAAACTGTTCCCAAAGGATAGACGAATTAGTTTTATATAAGTGGTCATCGATCATCTTTGACACATATTTAGGATATCGCCGTGAGCGAAGCTGAGGCTAAAACCCATCATGAAATTTTGTACACACATGTGAGGGGTACAGGAAAGGCCATAGGGTACCTTTTATTACAGAAAAGGTACTATTCCCGTGGGATAGAAAAAATTAGTTTTATGTGATCGTCAATGATACGTATTGAGGACATTAACGCAAGCGAATCCGCGGTAAAAAATATCATGAAATTTTATACGAATATTATTAGGGGTACAGAAAAGGGCATAGAGTAGTCAGAAAAAAACTGTTCCCAAAGGATAGACGAATTAGTTTTATATAAGTGGTCATCGATCATCTTTGACACATATTTAGGATATCGCCGTGAGCGAAGCTGAGGCTAAAACCCATCATGAAATTTTGTACACACATGTGAGGGGTACAGGAAAGGCCATAGGGTACCTTTTATTACAGAAAAGGTACTATTCCCGTGGGATAGAAAAAATTAGTTTTATGTGATCGTCAATGATACGTATTGAGGACATTAACGCAAGCGAATCCGCGGTAAAAAATATCATGAAATTTTATACGAATATTATTAGGGGTACAGAAAAGGGCATAGAGTAGTCAGAAAAAAACTGTTCCCAAAGGATAGACGAATTAGTTTTATATAAGTGGTCATCGATCATCTTTGACACATATTTAGGATATCGCCGTGAGCGAAGCTGAGGCTAAAACCCATCATGAAATTTTGTACACACATGTGAGGGGTACAGGAAAGGCCATAGGGTACCTTTTATTACAGAAAAGGTACTATTCCCGTGGGATAGAAAAAATTAGTTTTATGTGATCGTCAATGATACGTATTGAGGACATTAACGCAAGCGAATCCGCGGTAAAAAATATCATGAAATTTTATACGAATATTATTAGGGGTACAGAAAAGGGCATAGAGTAGTCAGAAAAAAACTGTTCCCAAAGGATAGACGAATTAGTTTTATATAAGTGGTCATCGATCATCTTTGACACATATTTAGGATATCGCCGTGAGCGAAGCTGAGGCTAAAACCCATCATGAAATTTTGTACACACATGTGAGGGGTACAGGAAAGGCCATAGGGTACCTTTTATTACAGAAAAGGTACTATTCCCGTGGGATAGAAAAAATTAGTTTTATGTGATCGTCAATGATACGTATTGAGGACATTAACGCAAGCGAATCCGCGGTAAAAAATATCATGAAATTTTATACGAATATTATTAGGGGTACAGAAAAGGGCATAGAGTAGTCAGAAAAAAACTGTTCCCAAAGGATAGACGAATTAGTTTTATATAAGTGGTCATCGATCATCTTTGACACATATTTAGGATATCGCCGTGAGCGAAGCTGAGGCTAAAACCCATCATGAAATTTTGTACACACATGTGAGGGGTACAGGAAAGGCCATAGGGTACCTTTTATTACAGAAAAGGTACTATTCCCGTGGGATAGAAAAAAATTAGTTTTATGTGATCGATATCATGCCTTTACTCAGTCGATCATCATGAAATTTTATGGACACATTGTCAGGGGTACAGAATAGGACATAGGGTACCCTTTATCCGACAAAAAGAAACCTGTTCCTGAGGTATAAAAAAATTGGTTCAATGTGGTCGATTTCACGCCTCAACTACTCAATCGACCATAATGAAATTTTAGACAGACATTTTCAGGGGTACAGAAAGCACATAGGGTATCTTTTATCCAGAAAAGACATTGTTCCCGAGGGATAGAAAAAATTAGTTCATTATGGTCGATTTCATATCTCAACTATTCAATCGATCATCATCAAATTTTGTATATAGGGTAACTTTTGTTCAGAAAAAATATTGTTCCCGGAGGATACAAAAATTTTGTTTTAAGTGGTCGATTTTACACCTTAACTACTTAACCGGTCATCATAACATTTTGCACACACATTGTCAGGATTACGGAAAAGGATATAGGGCACCTTTTATCCAGAAACAGTATTGTTCCCGAGGAATAGAAAAATTAGTTAAAGGTGATCTATTTACGCCTTAACCACTCAGTCGGACATCATGAAATTTTGTAGACACTTTAACAGGGGTACAGAAAAACACATAGCATAACTTATCCAGAAAAAATATGCAGTTCCCAAAGGATAGAAAAAGTTTTAAGTGGTCGTCAATAATCTTTGATACGTACTTAGGATGTCAAAACGAGCAAAGCCGCGAGTAAAATCCAATAAAACAATAAAGAATAGAAATAGTTGTCCGTCTTTGCTCAAGATGATATCGCCTATACTATAAAAAAAATCATCAAAACGAATTAAATAAGTTACAGGTATGACGACCATGATTAAAAATACAAGATAAATAATTACAGATGATGTTATGTTTGGATACCTGATTAACCTGTTTGTTTGGTTTAGATGTGAATAACATTTATACATAATTTTTATTTGTATATTGTTGGGATGCATCAAACCAAAATGCTGCATGTTAACACGTGTGCTCGCGTTGCTCTTGTATTTGACTTGTTTAGATAATTTCAAGAAAGCAACGTTTTAATAAAATTAAGTCCATTTACTTGCAACAATTTCAATGTCAAANATAAAAGGTGCCCAATGTGCTTTTCTGTACCCCTGGCAAAGTGTCTACACAATTTTATGGTGATCGATTGAATACTTAAGGCTTGAAATCGACCACGTACAACTAATTTTTCTATCCCGCAGGAACAGTATTTTTTTCTAAATAAAAGTCACCCTATATCCTTTTCTGTACCCCTGACAAAGTGTGCACAAAATTTCACGATGATCGATTGAGTAGTCAAGGCGTGAAGTCGACAACATAAAACTAATTTTTTGTATCCTTCAGGAACGATATTTTTTCTGGATAGAAAGTACGTTATGTGCTTTTCTGTACCCTGACAATGTGTCTACAAAATTTCATTTTGATCGATTAAGTAGTTAAGGCGTGAAATGTACCACTATTTCCCGCATATATTTTGACTTTTGAGTGTCGGAAGGAAAGGGATGAGAATTGAATATTTGAATTTTCCGCCTAACAGATGCCTATTTTGCTTATAATTATTATTTGCATCTATGGTGTATCTTGTCTTGAAAGAGAAACCACACCTCATCGCCATTTTAAGAGTAACAATTTTACAAATTTACTTGCTTTTTTCTGAGTGTTTTTATTATATTTCTTTATTTATTTACTTTATACAATAGTTAATTCGTTATTTCTCTATTTTTACAGATTGAAAATAAACGAGTGAGGTGATTGAAGTTCGTTTTGGTGCTACTAGAGAAAACAAATCGTCTCCTTCCTAGGGCGTTTTATTTGTTAACTTTTCATCTTGGGGGCTCTTGTAGTTAATTAATTAAGGTGAGTGTACATACTATATAATGTAGCTGTATACTTTTTGATATTAACAGAGGAAAGGGTTCGGCATTACTTTAACAATGTATGATGCACGTTATTTATTAGACAGACTAAACTAATTATATCCTAATACTGTTTCATAAGATTTTATTTTACAGGAACATTGAAAGAATTCCAGATCCCGTTAAATTATGGAGCATTGGTTGTGTCAGTCCTCCATCGCTTCAGAAAGTAACTGCACCTATGGCGGTAAAGAAAATATGAAAATGCGATTTTTCCATCGAGAATGGAGGCAGTGTGAGGTTGCTGAAGAAAGGATTTATGACAATGAACTGGTATGTAACAGTATCAATTAAAAATAGTAAACGAGGTCCCAGGAAATTTAATTTCGTATGCGTTTGTAACTTGCTTCGTTAGGCAGCTTTTAAACAACGTTTCAGATATGGCAGATGCAGAACAGCAGAATTAATGTGGAATTGATCTTTTCATCAGTGTGAATGTCACTGATTTATTTCCTTTAAAGTGGTAATTAATTACTTCTTTTTGCCCGTTTCTATAGAGTGCTCATTAAATGAGAAGGAATTGCAGTTAATTTTGGTGCCACTGAAACAACGGATGCCTTTGATGTGTTAGCCTTGCAACATTATGCAGTTAACTTTAGCCCTGAGAATAGGATGCAATTGGAAATTATTTGGAAGCCACTGAAACGACAAATTGTCAGCTGTAATATCTCTTCTAGATTTGGTTTCCTCTTCATACTGGTAGATTTTAGAACGCTACATTCTACAGTTAATTAAGGTAAGAATACATTACATATTTAATATTAATTGCTATTTATTAATCTGTCACAGCATTTTTAACAATTATCTATTGTGCACAGGTTAAATTGACGTTATCGCGGATGTATAGTATTTCTTTTAAATATCTATTGTATACAGCATCTATGGTTTTTCGTTCAGCATTTATCTACGGTATTTTAATATCTACTGTCTACATCATAATTGACGTTATCCTCATCTATCTATGATTATTAATCTGTGAAATATGGTCTGTCATGTAAACTTGACGCTTGTCGCCATTTTATTATTCGTCTGTTTTACTTCCTTGCTGGTGCGTGTTTTTAGGTCTATTTAATCTCCTCCCAAATTAATAGTGTAATTAATATATTTTTTTTTATCAATTTCTACAAATCGTTCAAGAAATGAGAGGGAATTAAAGTTCAGTTTGGTCGTTCAGAAATAACCAGTGTCTACATGGGTGTGGTCTTTCGTGATTACATTTTTCGTCATGGCCTTGCAACATTATGCAATTAATTTTCAAACAACTTTTAAACAATATTTCAGATGTGGCAGATGCATTACATCATAATTAATGTGCAATTGATCTTTTCATCAGTGTAAATGTTACTGATTTACTTGCTTTTAAAGTGATAATTAATTACTTTTTCATGCCTGTTTCTATAGATTGCCCATTAAATGAGAAGGAATTGCAGTGAATTTTTGTGCTACTGAAACAACCGATTCTTTTGATCTCTTCGCCTTGCAACGTTCTGCAGTTAGTTTTGGCCCTGAGAATAGGATGCAATTGGAAATTATTTGGAAGCCACTGAAACGACAAATTGTCAGCTGT